TTTTTTTTTTTCTACTAGGTAAAACGGTGCATGCAGTATTTATATTACCAAAATAAATTAAAAAGAATGCATCAGAATGGAGTTTACAGTACACTTTCATGTATTTCACGTCTAAATTCTACATTTGAAAACTAAACTTACATCATGGTGTTTCGTATTGTTTCTGTATTATTGCACATGATCAATAAAAACAAATTATAAAGAATATAAACATATATTAAAAGGATACTACCACATCTATCTATTTGTAGGCTATTCTACATCACTGACTGTAGGGGAACTGCCTGGGTTGCCAGGCATATCCCCCAAAAGATATTTAATAAATATCACTAAATTATTGCAAAATAAGAAATTTAATATATAATTATAATAATATAATAATTTGTGATTTTTATAGCGCTTTTCTCCCTGTGAGACTCAAAGCGCTTTACAAGTATACAAACAAAAGAAATAAAAGTTAGGAGTTTCTGAAGGTCAGCTGAGCGGACTGAGACTGAATGCCTGATGGAAGAGGTGGGTCTTTAGCTTTTTTTTTAGAGTCTGTAAAGACGGTGCCTCTCTTATTGTGCACAATAAAGAGTTCCAGAAAGTAGGGACAGAGTGGCTGAATGCCATGAAACCTGAGTCTGTCTTTATTCTTGGCACTGACAGGAAGGATTTGCTGGCTGACCGAAGTGAACCGGATGGAATGTAGGGTGTCATGCGCTCTTTCAGGTACTGTGGGCCTTGAATGTTTAAGGCTTTGAAGGTTAGCAGGCCAATTATAAAATATGTCAAATATGCCATTTAATTGGAAGCCAATGCAGGGAGTGGAGAACAGGTGTTATATGGCAGGAGTGAGCTTGATTGGTCAATTATCTGGCTGCTGTATTTTGTACAGTCGGAAAGCGATGGAGTTCTTTTTCTTTAGTAAGAGGGCCTAACTGGTTGTTTTGGTGTGATCGATGGTAAGTACATAATGGCCCGTATCTTTTTGTAGGCTCATAGTTTTCAGGTGAAGGTGGTTAGACGTGATGTTATTGGTAGTGAATTTATTTGGCCGTAAGAAGTCATAGAAGGCTAGATAGACTGCAATTTAATTAGCAGATTAGTGCTAGTTTCAAATGGATTGGTATATAGACTGTCTGAAAGTGCACGAAATTTAGACCCGTCAATAGGAAGTCTGGTAGTGGTAGTGGGTTTGTCCAAGTGTTGTATGATAGGGTAGGCACTTAGGATGTGATGTTGTATTGTATTGAGTTGATCCGTCCGGGTTGTAGATAATCCGTATATGTGGAGATAAAAGAAAACACAAAAAACTGCCAATGGTGAAATATTGTAGCTCCAAGGGTAAAAATAAGTAAAAAGGAGGATTGTACACTCACATTTGGTGGAACTAGGGCCAGCTCTGGGGTGAAGGGTACTTAGTGGTATAATCCCCACTACAGGATGTACTGGAAGGGTAGGTCCGTCCGTCCGGCTTGGGTTCCGTCGTATTCCACAAGGTATAAGAAACAGCAAATAGTGCTCTCAGTAGGAACAGTAAAATAAATAAAATTAAAATAAAATATACTCACAAGAGTAGAGCAGGAAATACTGCTCTATTGCCACAGCGCTGGTGGAATTATCCCCACCTATGGATTCATTGGTGTAGCTAGGACCGGCTCTGGGGTGAAAGGCACTCGGTGGTATAATCCCCACTGAAGGATGTACTGGAAGGGTAGGTCCGTCTGTCTGGCTTGGGTTCCGTCGTATTCCACAAGGTATATGAAACAGCAAATAGTGCTCTCAGTAAGAACAATAAAATAAAATATACTCACAAGAATATAGCAGAAAAATACTGCTCTATTGCCACAGCGCTGGTGGAATTATCCCTATGAATTTCTTGGAACGGGATCCGAATAAAAATAAATATAATAAGAATAAAAAATAAAGAAAAAATAGAAATAAAAAATGCCAGGAATAATAATAGTAGGAGTGTATGTAAAATACAATAAAGTAAGTAAAAGATTGGTCCTATAAAAAAGGTAACCAAAAATAACTTTTGTTGTTATAAAATACACTATTTAAAACCATTAACGCGTTTCACCTATGAGGCTTTTTCAAAAATGGTAATTGAACAATATACCTGGAAAATTATTCCAGAAAAGTCAAATATAATTTTTAGAGGAACCCCCAATTTTAAAACGATTTTAACTACGAATTTTACTAAAGCAATCCCACCTAAAAATCCATTATCTTTTTTTCCCCAATCTAAAGGATTTTATAAATGCAAAACATGTATCGTATGTAAGACCACTGATTCTACACTGCCATCTAAAACGACAGAATTCATCTCGAACAGGACTAAAACTACTTACAAAGTAAAAGAATTTATAAGCTGTAATACCAAAAATGTGATTAATTTACTGGAATGCCCATGTGGCTTCCAATATGTTGGGATGACCACAAGATGTTTAAAAACTAGATTAAGTGAACATTGTAGGAATATTAAAAATGGATACTCAAACCATTCTGTATCAAAACATTTTTTAATTCACAATAAAGATCGAAAAATGCTAAAATGTATGGGGATAAAAAAATGCACCCTACCCTGGAGAGGAGGTGACATAAAAAATATTTTAGGAAAAACAGAAATGGAATGGGTCTATAGGTTACAGACCCTTGCACCTCAAGGTCTAATTGCAGATTTTGATCTGCATAATATTTTATAACTAAACACTGTTTGCTTTTATTCTACTATTTTATTTTTTTCTATATGCTTCTTAATATCATATTATGTATGTCACCTTTTACAGTATCCAATTATTCTACTATCTATGTCTACTTATATTTAATTTTATGTATATTTATGTCTATTTTCTCTTATTTTTATATTTCATATTATCTGCCTGCAATAATACTATTTATCTATCTGTGGTACATATAGTAGTCCCATTTATTAGGTTCCTTTTTTAGTTTTATGGTCCCTCTCCCCTCTCTTATGTTGTATCTGCTGTCAGTGGGAGTAGCTGACTATTGGTATTTTGAGCCAGCTTGCTCGCCACCTTCCCCATGCACACAGTGACCGGCATGACTACATCTCCCAAGGAGCATTGCTCCTACATGCCGGTCACGTAGTGCTGTGGGTTGCATTACGCGTCCGAGCGACCCACCCACTTTTCGCATGCGTACCGCAATTCTCTTGTCCCGATCACTTGACTCTGTAATTTCTATTCAATATCGTTATTAAAGCTTCGTTTTGCACAGTCAAATATATTTTATGGCTAATATAAGCCATATATATGTAACTATATAGCTTTCAATCTGTTTTGAGTTTGTTTTAAAAAAATGTTTTAATACTCGTTTGTAATTGGTGTAACAGATTTTGGCACCATTTTTAACCACTGTGTACTCTTATAAATACTGTTTTATGCCAGGTATATTGTTCTATTACCATTTTTGATGCCTCATAGGTGAAACATGTTAATGGTTTTAAATAGTGTATTTTATAACAATAAAAGTTATTTTTGGTTACCTTTTTTATTGGACCAATCTTTTACTTATTTTATTGTATTTTACATACACTCCTACTATTATTATTCCTGGCATTTTTTATTTATTTTTTTTATTTATTTTTTTATTCTTATTATATTTATTTTTATTCGTATCCCGTTCCAAGAAATCCATAGGTGGGGATAATTCCACCAGCGCTGTGGCAATAGAGCAGTATTTTTCTGCTCAATTCTTGTGAGTATATTTTATTTTATTTATTTTATTGTTCTTACTGAGAGCACTATTTGCTGTTTCATATACCTTGTGGAATACGACGGAACACAAGCCGGCCGGCCGGCCGGCCGGCCGGACCTACCCTTCCAGTACATCCTTCAGTGGGGATTATATCACCAAGTGCCTTTCACCCCAGAGCCGGTCCTAGCTACACCAATTAATCCGTAGGTGGGGATAATTCCACCAGCGCTGTGGCAATAGAGCAGTATATCCTACTCTACTCTTGTGAGTATATTTTATTTTTATTTTACTGTTCTTAATGAGAGCACTATTTGCGGTTTCTTATACCTTGTGGAATACGACGGAACCCAAGCTGGACGGACGGACCTACCCTTCCAGTACATCCTGTAGTGGGGATTATACCACTAAGTGCCCTTCACCCAGAGCTGGCACTAGCTCCACCAAATGTGAGTGTACAATCCTCCTTTTTACTTATTTTTACCCTTGGAGCTACAATATTTCACCATTGGCAGTTTTTTGTGTTTTCTTTTATCTCCACATATACGGATTATCTACAACCCGGACGGATCAGCTTCTGAGGATTGTACACATACCCTATCCATATATCAGTGAGACTGTTCTTATTGATTTTTTTCAATATTTTTCTTATCATTTGATTTTCATTGGACATCTGGATGGACTTTGTTTTATTCATTATTTTTATATAATTGCAATAAAGACTATTATACCCAGGTTCTATCACTTGCTGATTATACTCAACCAAATGGTTTCTATTTTATGGTACTGTTCTCTGTACAATAGCGCAGCCCTTAACTCTTCTTTTTCTTTCTATCCTTCAAAGGGTCTTGAGGGATTCCTTTTTAGGGTTGCTGCTTTCTTCTCTGTTATTAAGCGCAGACTCTTCCCCTCTGTTTTTATTGGTGATAAATAGTCTAGATGGCGAACCTTTTTGAGCCCGAGTGCCCAAACCGTAATACATGCCAATTTTTTTTCCCTCAAAGTGCCAAAACGACAATTAAACCTGAATACTGAGGTTTAAGTTTAGAAAAAAACACTCATACAGTTGTCCGAACTAATTAACATCTCTGTGTGTGTATTTAGCAGTCTGTCTGTGTACTTAGCAGTCTGTCTGTGTACTTAGCAGACAGCTGAATACACACACAGACTGCTGAGTACACACACAGACTGCCGAATAAACACACACACACACAGACTGCCGAGTACACACACACAGACTGCCGAGTGTACACACACGCACAGACTGCCGAGTGTACACACACGCACAGACTGCCGAGTGTACACACACACACACAGACTGCCGAGTGTACACACACACACACAGACTGCCGAGTGTACACACACACACAGACTGCTGAGTGTACACACACACACAGACTGCTGAGTGTACACACACTGCATTGAGGGGTACATTGTATGTGTTTGTGTGTGTGTGTGTGTGTGTGTGTGGGTGGGGTGATGTGATGTGTGGGTAGGGTGATGTGTGGGTGTCTTTGTGTGGGGTGATATGTGTAGGGCAGGGGTGCTGTGTGTATGTCCCCCCCCCCCTCCTCCCGTCCCACACTCAGTTTTCTCCCCCTATACCTCCCTCAGTTTCCGTCCCATCTCTCCCACTCAGTTTCCCCTCCCATCTCTCTCCCACTCAGTCCCCCCCCATATCTCTCACTCAGTTTCCCCTCCCATCTCTCTCCCACTCAGTTCCCCCCATCTCTCTCCCTCAGTTCCCCCCCATCTCTCTCCCTCAGTTTCCCCCCATCTCTCTCCCTCAG